TGATATCAAGACCTACCCCACTGAATTAAAACAGCTCAAGGTTATAATTCTAGTGCCTTAGTTACATTATAATTGTTTACAACATACAACTTTGCATAACACGTTTACTGTAAGACAAAGTGACATTGACTGTACCTGAAATACTGGGCCAAAAGCACCTGCTTACAAAGGTCTCAAATTCCATTTAAGTAAGTGGAGTTCACCTGACCTACACCAGGGATTATTTGATCAAGTGAGCTTAATTTTTTTTTTTTTTTTAAAGGAAATAAAATCAAAATTACTTGAATATATAAATATAATGAAACTGATATTTTTGTTAGGACATTTCTTAGACTATTGAATTTAAGGACCAAGCTTTCAGGCATAGAAAGCCAAGTCATTCTCATTAAAAAGAAAGCAATTAAAAAAAAAGTTACCATTCGAAGTTTTCTTTAATTCCGCTTTCAGTTTTTCTGTTTCTTTCCTCAGTTTTTTATTGTCTTCTTCTAGAGCCTGTTCATTTTCACACTTCCCTTTTTCATTCAAAGCCTAGCCAAAAAAAAAAAAAAAAATCGTGAGTTTAGTTAGTATTAGTTTAAATTACTGCTAGATAGTAATACAAATGACCAAACAACATTGGCCCTGATCCTACAATTTGCTGGATGTCTTCAATTCCCACTGATATCAAAAGGAAGCTATAAAAGATTAGCACCTCTGGAAAAAAAAAACCCAAACAGAAGTATCCATAAATATAGTCATAACATTTAAGGTTGAAAGGGACCATTAGGATTGTCTATTATAACCTCCTGCATAACATAGGCCAAAGAACTTCACCCAATAATTTCAGCATCAAACCCACAATGTGTCTAAACTATAGCATCTCTTTGAAAATAAAAGAGATCCAGTCTTGATTTAAAGACTGCAAGTGATAGAGAATCTATCACATCGCTTGGTAAGCAGCTCCAATGGTTAGCTACCTTCACGGTTAAATTGTGCATTATTTCTACTCTGAATTTGTCCAGGGGTAGCTTCCAAACATTGGATCTCATTATTCCTTTTTCTGCCAGATAAAATAATCATCTATTATCAGAAATCTCTTCTCCTGGTAATACTTGTAGTTTGTGATCAAGTCATCACTTAACCTTTTATATTAATAAGATATTTAGGTACTTAAATACAACTTTATCTTATTTCCAGAAATGCTAAGCACCTGGAAGTCCCCACAAAAGCTGTAGTAAGCACTAAATAAAAGTTATGTACCTACTGTACTTGCTATTATGAATCTTTATATTTCAAGCAATTAAATAACAGTTGTGCCTTAATTATAAAATGATAAAATATCCAGGATTAGTCACTGTTTCTTGTGACTCTTTTTCCTCATTTCTCCTACAACTTCCTTTCCCATGCGCCTACTCCTCCCTCCCCAGTATTCTCCCTTCAAAGAAATTCAATCCTCCGCTCATCTGACCTCCCACATCAAGCACATGAACGTGAACTGTCCCATTTAAGGAGAGCAGGGGAAGAGGCAAGCTTTTAGGTGAAGAAAAGGAGCAACACATTTTCTTGTGCAGAGCGACAGAGGATGGAGATAGGATACTGGACATACAAATCATTCAAAGGTAAAGAGGTAGATACAAGAATCAGGTACATAGGAAAAAGAGCTGAACTCATGAGATCAAATGAGATTGCTCAGAGTATTCAGGAGAAAGAGCAAAGGCCCTTGATAAAAATCTTGGGACATCATCCAAGACGGGTGAAAGAGGAGCTACCAAATAAAATGTTGAAGGAGTAGTCAGTAATGTAAGAGGTAGTGTCTTTGATTATGGATTTGTCACCTCTAACCTGGGCCCCTTATACTCCACCACACAATTTCAGAGCAAGTGTCCTTCAGTTCTGTGGCATTGTTCATTAGGTTAATTTGTTTTTTCATAATTTATTGCTGAGGAAGGTTACTCCCAATATGGTTGGGTGCTTAAGGTTTCTGTAGGGACAGTACTCAGCTGAGTTAAGTAAATACCGAGTACCCAGCTGAGTGAATAAAGCTCCATCCTTCTCTGGTTGACAGTGGGACCCTCGGAGGTCAGAGCTGGGCTGTAGAGAGAGCACTGTGTCCCACAGAGGCTGTACTAGTGAGCTGAGGCACTGGCATAACTGTTTCTCCTCGGCTGTGAAGTGTGTCCATATGCAGAGAGTCTGACCGATACATACACATGCTTCCAGGGCTGGACAAAAGAATAGGCAACTATAGGCCCATACCTATGGACCCAGCTCCTGAAAGCATTTGGCTATATCAGAATCTCAACTTTCAGTAAAAAGGGGTTTTTTTTAGCCCTCATGGTTGTAGAGGTAACCCAAATCTGTAGACAAACACCAGCTCTGAGTGTAGAATTGCCCATTTTTTCCTCAATAGAATGTTAATTCAACCCCCGACCCCCCAATCCCTGCAAACTACCTCAGCAGAGGACTGTGTGTGTGACAGGAGGGGAAGACAGCAGCAGGCCTGGCCCACTGAAGTAGATACACCCTGGCTGCTAATGTAAATACTTGGGCCACCCTTGCTTTTCTGGGGGCAAGAGAGTGATCCCAAATGCTGCAACTGCTATTCTCCAGAAGAGGGGGGGGGGCCCTGATGCCATTCCTGCCAGGCTAGGAAAGGGACTCCATGATTCTGCTCTCACCTCTCTGTGAGAGGAGTGGACTTTATTCCACCACCACTTCAAGTGGGGGGTGGGGCTTTAGTGCAGGGGCAGAGCCATTGGGAACCTCCTGTCATTGTGTGCCCAGGGACCCAGACTATCTTAAACCAGGTTCACTACACTTTGCATCCCAAGCGGGATGGAGCTCTGCCTAGCACCTGCAACCCACCAACATGGCCCTTGGCTGCCACAGTTCTCCCCTCAGGGGACACACCTCCAGAGATATGCAAGGAAGATCCTGATGCGCCAGGAGAGCTACTCTGCTTTCTGACTCTGTTATTTGCAAGTGGGGAGAATGTGCTGCTTATGTAACACAGTCCCCTTTGTAGCAAAAGCAGCACAGAAAGAGGAAGATGAAGCTGCAGCCACAACACAGCAGGACAGAAAATGCAAGATGTCAGGCATCTGGCTAGAGCAAAATGG